TCAGTTCAGTCGCTCAGTCGTGTCCAACTCTTTGCGGCCCCATGGACCACAGCACACGAAGCCTCCCTGCCCATCGTCAACTCCTGGAGTTTACTCAAACTCATGTCCATTGAGTCGGTGAAACCATCCAACCATCTCATCCTCTGTCATCCCCTTCTTCTCCCGCCTTCAATCTTTCCCAGCATCAGGGTCTTTTCAGATGAGTCAATTCTTCGCATCAGGTGGCCAAAGTATTGGAGTTTCACCTTCAGCATCAGTCCTTCCAATGAATGTTCAGGACTGATTTCTTTTAGGATGGACTGGTTGGATCTCCTTGCTGTCCAAGGGACTCTCAAGAGTCTTCTCCAACACCACAATTCAAAAGCATCAATTCTTCAGCACTCTGTTTTCTTTACAGTCCAACTCTCACATCCATACATGACTACTGGAAAAACCATAGCTTTGACTCGACAGACCTTTGTTGGCAGAGTAATGTCTCTGCTTTTTAATATGCTATCTAGGTTGGTCATAACTTTTCTTCCAAGGAGCAAGCGTCTTTTAATTTCATGGCTGCAGTCACCATCTGCAGTGATTTTGGAGCCCCCCAAAATAAAGTCTGTCGCGACTGAGTGGTCCCAGCAGATGACAGAATCTGCTGCTGCTCAACAGAGAATGCTGAGGGTAGATCTCTCTGAAGTGGAGATAGTTGAGCATTGACCTGACGGCAGTGAGGGGGCAGGAGCATTCCGGGCAGAGCAGGGAGCAAGTGCCAAAGCCCCGAGGTGGGAGCAGTCAGGTAGGCCTGAGTAATCGAGTTGGCCAGGGTGGATCATGGGCATTCTATACAACAGGACCTTATAAGCTTTTGACTTCTATCCTAAGAGCAGTAGGAAACCACTGGAACATTTACATTTTAATTTCTTCTTAACCTTTTTTGGGTCATGAACTTCTTTAGCAGTCTGGTGAAGCCTGTGGAACCCTCTGCAGAATAATGTTTTTCAGTGCATAAAATAAAATCCCAGAGGGTATTAAAGAAAATAATTATATGGAAATAGAAAGATTAAAGTCTCCTGTAAGGGACATGCATGTTCCAGTTTATATTTTCAAAGGGTTCTTCTGGCTGCTGCAGGGAGAATAGACTGTAGGGACCAAGGCTGGAAGCACAGACACCAGTGAGTGTGGAGCTAAGATCTTCTCATTTACCCTGTAGGGCCGTGGCCTCACAGTTGTGCAACACTGTCATTTTGAATGAAGGAAGAAACTTTGATAACTTCTGTTTATATCTGTGTGTGGGGCGGGGGGGGTTAGTCGCTCAGTCATGTCCAGCTCCTTGTGACCCCATGGGCTGTAACCTACCATGTTCCTCCATCCATGGAATTCTCCAGGTGCGTTTCTAGAGTAGGTTGCCATTTCCTTCTCCAGGGAATCTTCCCAACCCAGGGATTGAACCTGCATCTCCTTCATTACAGGCAGATTCTTTACTGCTGTGCCACCGGGAAAGGCCCTGTTTATATTTAAATGACCCTAATTCTTTTAAATTTCTATATTGCGTGTATGTTTTATAACATGAGTTGGTGATGGACAGGGAAGCCTGGCGTGCTGCGGTTCATGGGGTCGCAAAGAGTCGGACACGACTGAGTGACTGAACTGAACTGAATGTGTTAGGACATTAGTACATTTATATAATTTGTGGATTAGTCTACATGTATTGGAGGTGCATGTTCAGAAGGCAATGGTGACAGTAGTTTTTGATCAACCAAATGTGATGATCATGATGTAGGGAGAGTTACTCTGTAAAAAACTGAATAAAAGGCCACTCTGCTTTGGACCACATTGCATTTCAGAGGCCATTTTGTGGGAAAGCATGAATTCATGCCCTGCAGCATTAGTGAGCTTTAAACGTGAAATTGTATTCCCCATTCTATTTTTCCTGTCCCTCTGATTTCTGAACTCCCCCTCTTTCAGGCAATACTCCTTCATTTGGTTGAGTTCTTTCCTGGTTATTTTAAATTTTTTATGACCATTTGCAGAAATGGCAACTTGTGGGTTAATTAATCAGACGTTGAAAAAATAGCTTGACGAATCACTATAGCATAACTTGGCTAAACTGGCAGGGCGGAGGGGCTTGTCCTCAGTGTTGTTCTATGTAGCACCTGCTGAAGCAGGAGACAATGTTAGGTGACATGATTCAGAGCCAAGTCCGGCTGCGTGTCGTTTCTGTCTTTGCAGCTGCAACAGGGACACAGCCACTGGAAGAATGCTGTGAAAAAGCTACTGGGGAGAGGGCGCTTGGTTTGTGCCAGGAATTAACAGAGCATCCACATTATTTCCTGGGAAATAACTAAATCCTTGACATTACTTGTCAGCATAAAACAGAACGAAACTAGTTTTAAAAAATTCAGCAAGGAAAAAAGCAAACACTTAGAAATTTAAAAAAAAAAAAAAAACCCAAAGACATCCACTTTAATCTCCATTTTGTCCCTGTCCTTCCTGTGTCCTTCAGAGTGTGGTTGCCTATGATGGACGGGCCTGTTCGATTGTGGGATTGATTTTGGGGACTGGATGTCTCTGCTTGTTGCTGCAGAATGTCGTGGCATCTCCAGAGGCCTCGTTGTTGCTTTTGAGGTGTGTTAGGTCCCCAAGGTTCCAGGACCCTCCAATGTTACTTGTACGTGAAGGCCTTTTGGGAGTAAGGGGCACCTGGAATTCTGAAGTCTTTGGTGCTTCAGTCTCCATTTCTTGTTGTTGTGTTTGCCAGATTGCCCTGCAGTCACAGAGGCTCATGGGTGATCAATAGCATTAAGTAAATGATGCCAACAGGCCTCTCTGGTACTCTCCAACTGGGGTCTCTTAGTTCCCCTTTAAGATCCCACTCATTCAGAGCAGATCTAAAGGACATGGTCTTTCTGGTCCATTCTCCATCAGTATACTGAGGTAACACTTCAGACTTAAAAAGAATCTCCCATTTTTCAATATTTAGGTTGACCAGAGTGATTCCAGGCTCAGCAGGCTAGATCCTGAGTCCTGGAAGTTTGTATTGACCACCACTTAGACCTGTCTCTTCAGCCGCCTCTGAGAATACAGGCAAATGGGGAGGGATGGGCATTCAGATTAACTAACCATTTACCTTGCGCCAGGCTCCAGAAATGCCTGATACACAACACCTTACGTCAGCCTCACCATAGACACAGGAATCTCACCCCCATTTGACAGACGGGGACCCTGAGGCCTGGCGTCTGTAACGAACAGAATAAGATCCCAGCTGTGCTAAGTCCGACGCTGACCTGACCCCATCACGCTTCACCTTCTCTCTCTGCAGCAGGCACACTTTTCTAAAATTGTGGCTGTAAGGATCCAGAAGGTGAACTTTTAACACCGCTTAGTGATTTTTTTTTTTCTGGTTTCCAAAACTGAATGGGTTTCCTCCTGTGCCTCTGGCCTTCCTTCATGTCCTCTTGGTTCAGTTGAAAAGAGATACCTGTATTTCTCATTCCTCTTCTCCATGGGTCTTACAGAGCAGCGGCTCACTAGGGCACCGATTTAATGAAATAAAATTTTCAATCCTGTTTGGTTCCATTCTAGGTGATACAAATAAAGAATTGTGAACACTTTGTAGTTAGGTTTAAAGGGAAGGAGAAAGGTGGAAAGAAGAAAGTGGGTCAAGTATAGTATTTGGGCAAGGTCTCCTAACTGCTGCCTAGTGAAGGTTGAGCTATTAAAAATGGAGAAATAGTGGGGCCTCCGTACTACTTTGGCACTTGTGTATCTGGAGATTTCGGGTTTGGCAGTTTATACCACTTACCAGTTAGGTTAATCATATCTATGCCAGGCATTGTTCTGATAAATATATAGTGATGTGTACATTAATTTATCCTCTCCCTTTGAGGTACATACTACTATTATCTGTAAAAGAAGACAGAGGCACAGAGAGGTTTATCATCTTTCCCAAGGATAGATAGTTAAGGGCAGAACCAAAAGTTGAGCCTAGGAAAGTTGGCTTCAGAGAACTGTCGACCTCTATGCTAACCAGCCTGTCAGTGACAGGACTCGGTAACTCATGATTTCCAAGATCAGTTTTCTTCTTATTAGAACCAGCCCACCATACAGTTGGAAGGGTAAATATGTCATGTTTGGCGACAGACGTTGATGGGTTAAAAAAAAAGGTCTTAGGAAAAGTCATGTACTTTCTCTCCCATATTCTTCCATCTGTATTTACTGAGCAAAAAGGTCACTTGAGCACAGAGCTTGGATTTCATGCTTCTAAGCAGCTTCAACGTGGCTGAAACCTTGCTCTACAAATTGACTTTAAAAATATTTTGTAATAGTGTGTATCGGTCTCGAATATGAATGCACTGGAGTCGTTAAGTGATGATCTTCTTAAATGGGACTTTTGTGACTATATTTTACATAAATACCAGGAATCGTTAAGTGACTTTTTGTTGTTGTTTTACACTCAAATTGTAGCCTTTCCTCATCACTGTCCATCCACTCACATTTACTGGAAGGAACTGAGGTTCTGGGAGCCCTGAGCTCTTTGCCTTGTCAGTCAGCTACCTGGCTACACTTTGTGGTAGGAGGGGAGAGAGGGGAGAAGCCTCAGAAGGCTGAAATGGTAAATTACTCTATGTTCTGGAGAAAAATAGAATTAGAAGCATTTGTGGTTCTGATGAAAATAGCACATTTCCTTTCTGCTTGGAGTGTGGGGGGGTCAGAGTGCTCCAGAGGATAGAAAATAAATAAAAATTGATCCCTCTCCAGTCAAAGGAGATGCTTTGACTCTGGGAACTGAAATGACAGCTCTAGATTTGAAGATCTCGTGAAACCACTTTTGAAGGTTAAAAAAAAATAACAACAACAAAAGCACTAAGAGGCTTAAAAAAAAAAAAAGTGACATACTATGTTAGGAAATTTAGCCTTTCAGGGATGATTTTATAGCCCTTTTCCAAGACTGAAGAGTAGGTAACAGACCCGGATCATTTTGCTCCTGTCACTGACCATGGTCATTCCATCTCTCCTTGCAGGTGAGAAGCCTTATAAGTGCTCGTGGGAAGGGTGTGAGTGGCGTTTTGCACGAAGCGATGAACTTACGAGGCACTACAGGAAACACACAGGTGCAAAGCCCTTTAAATGCAACCACTGCGACAGGTAAAGAAACTCAGCATCTGGCGGGTGGGGAAGGGGAGATGGTGAAGTGGGTGGGAGGGCGGGGTGGTCGTGTGCTCCTGGCTTCCTCACAAGCCTCTCTCGAAGAGACACGGGCCTGGGGATGCCTCTTACTCCTCCATGGAGAAAACCAATGAGATAAGGGTGCCTCCTTGCATACAGTCAAGAGATGATACGGACTCTCGGGTCAGTTACATGAGTATTTCATGAACACCAGCATTGTGATGGTCTCTAGATATTAGTGAGACCTAACTCCTACCCTCGAGGGGATGATGTGACAGATCATTTTAGTATAATAAGAAAATTAATAGGCTACAGAATGGTCACCGGTAGTTTCTGATCTTCTTATTAATATCAATCGATTTTTCTCAATGTGAGAAGTAGAAAGCCTGCATGAAGGAGGGGAAATTAGTTATAAGACTTTCCTTTGAAGCGTTGTTAGAAGTGAATTTACTGAAGAGAGTTCCCATTCTTTTGGGGGGCCAGAGCCATCCTTTCTTCTTTGAAAGTAGATACAAAGGTCAAGATGGTGAGGCTTTGAGAACTCATCCTATAATTCAATTTCAAACTTTCAGCATTTGAGAGTGGAAGAAAGAGCACGTAGCAACAGACACTACACAAGTAATAGTATCTGACAGCCCTGGCATTATCAACCAATAAACCCCAAAATGGAGACTCTGCAGGCCAAGGTGAAGGCAGGATTAGGTTTAGACGTAATCAAATAATGGGCTTGCATCTGAGCGTGTTATCCTTCTAATCCTATTTCTGTGTTTAAAAGGAAGCTTAAGAAAATTAACCATCTTTTTAATGCAATATTAAAGGTCTCGGTTATGATGAGAAAAATGCTTCTAATACGATAAAAGCCCTGAAAGCCTCAGGGTTCCCCGGCTCAGCCCCTTGCTTGCAGGGTGGCAGGAGGGGTGTGCAGGATGTCCGCAGAGGCCTGGCTCTCTGGTGGAGGAAATGCGATCGCTTTTGCATCCTGCCTCCCCCAGCCCCCTCACCAGACCTTCCTCTGGTGCAGAGCAGGACAGGAGTGGCCACGTTTCATGGGTGGCCGGTTGCCTTGGTGCTCCTTTAAGATGCTTATAAAGAAGCATTCACGTTGTTCCTCCCTTCCCCCGCCCCCCCCCCCCCCCTTTTTCCTGAAGAGCCTATTTTCCTCTTATCTTCATTCTTGAAGAACTAAATAAAGCCCCCATGCCTTCTGGAGCCCAAAGATAACCTCCCACCCCAAGGGTGAGGAAGTACACTCCGTGAAGCTGTTGTCTGTCTGTCCCTTAGAGCTCTCTTCTGTTACCCCCAAATACAGCCTGTTTGTCGTTTCTGTCCCATTCACCTCAGAGTCCCCCTGAATTTATAGAAAGCAGCAGCTATTCTCCTATAGATTGTATTTCAGTGATGTTGCTCCTTATTTGAAACTTTCTCTTGATGCCCGTCTCTAACCCTGGTTACTAATTAAAGAAGCTATATAGGTGGTGACTCTTTGATCACAGTCCTTTGAGGAAGGGCATTATATCAGTGGGGATGAAGATATATCTATCCTTTGTGAGTTATCAGAGTGTGGTGGTAGTAGGTACACATGAGTTGTCCTCCCCTGAAAGATGGTGAGGCTATTACTTTGAAATCATGCTTTATGGATAGCCATAAGCCTTGGAAACAGGCAAAGAATTCTTATAGGGAAACTGCCAGACTTAGTATTCCTCTTAAGTCAACTGAGTTATTAAGCAGTATGCAACTGTCCATTCTGGAGAAGGGGATGACAGAGAATGAGATGGTTGGATAGCATCACCACCTCAATGGACATGAACTTGAGCAAGCTGCAGGAGATAGTGAAGGACAGGGAAACCTGGCGTGTTGCAGTCCATGGAGTCACAGAGAGTCAGACACGACTGAGCGACTGAACAACAGTGTATCTGTCCAGCACTTGACTTATTAGGATTAAACCTGACTGATGTATATGGAGAAATAATTTTAAACTGACCGGGTATTTCAGTGTAGGAGATGGCAGGGATGGGTAGTTCAGTTAGTCTTTTGCTTGATTTTCCTCGTCAAAATATACTCTGGCTTCTGGAGCTAGAAGTTTGCTGAGCAGATGGCACAAACTGTGACATGGTATTTGGGGCAGCTGGCAAGTAGCTCAAACTTGTGTGGCAGGAGAGTCGGTGCCTTTCACCAGTGTCAGAAACCAGGGGGTGGAGCCTCGTTAGTGTCTCCTGACAGGCAGCACCTTGTACTTCAGCTGCAGGAACTGTGCTAAAAATAGAGCAGGTCTGGGAGGTGGCGTGGGGAGTTGGAGTGGTCCCAAAGTGATGGAAGAAAAGCCTGGAGTGACCGTGGACTTGGCATTCCCTAGAAGACTTTTAACTTCAAAAAAAGAGTACATTTATAGCCTTTAGCAGAGCACTGGATCCTGTTGGTGCCTCAATATGTATGAGCCTGAGAAATCTATCTCTTGCCTCATATAATTGAATAATCAGGCTACCCTATGGGCATGCGTGCTAAGTCACTTCAGTCGTGTCCGACGCTTTGCGATCCCACAGACCATATAGCCCACCAGGCTCCTCTGTCCATGGGATTTTCCAGACAAGATTACTGGAGCAGATTGCCATTTCCTCCTCCAGGGATCTTCCTGAACCAGGGGTCAAACCTGTATCTCTTAGAGGTCTCCTGCATTGAAAAGTGGGTTCTTTACCACTAGTGCCACCTGGAAGCCCTCAGACTGTGCTACTTAGAGGCTGAACTAAGTAAGACTGGGGTTTCTTGACCTTAAAGCGGGTACCAAGTCTAACTTGTACTTTTATTTTGCCTATAGGGTAAATTAAAAAATACACGAGTTTCTTGTTTGTTTTGCTAACATTTCAAATTGCTTAATGTCACAAAAATCTCTGTTCCTGGCTTTGAAAAATTGGAAGATCAGGTAACAGTGAACTCACATTCCCAGGTGGCCATAATTTTCTGGAGCTGACTGGTCATCACTGCCTTTGGTAATGGTCCTGTGATTACTTATTTCTCTCTGTTCCCCCTCCCTCACCACAGTTTCCCCAGTATGAAGGCAGAACATCAGTTGTCGTGTAGCATGTCCAGATTATCTCCTCTTAATGAAGAGCAACATTTCTTTATATTCCAAGGTAGAATCAGATGGTTTTTAAATGCTGTGTGTTTCTTACTCTTGACCCATTGCACCCATTTACTTTATCTGCCTGGCCTTAAAGACATTAAGTTTTGTGACTTCAGGTCTGGGGAGGAAGAAGTGAGGTGTTTCTGCTCTCTTACCATCAAACTACGCAGTACAGCCCACTCAGTGATCAGCTGCTTAAAGGGATGATTGCTGTTTCTCAGCCCACAGAGCAAGAGGCTGCTGATGGTAGTAAGCAGGGCTATTTCCCCAAGTAGCCACATGCAGCTATAACCCAAGGAGCCTGCTCCCAGCATAGTACCTCCAAGACCCTAGGAAGTTTAGAGGAGGTGTTTTGATCTTTGATCTCTTGGTCAGGCCACTTATAGGTGGTGAGAAACATCAGCCTGTATCTAACCCTTTGGTGCCTGCCTGGTGCATTGCTGTTGGCCTAATGCCCATGTGACTTCAGGGGGCCTTTTTCATCAGCGAGAGAAATGACAATAAGGGTTTGACTAGTTCTCTGCAGTAAACAAATTTTAGTCATTAAGAACTTTCTTATTTAAGGTCATCTGACTGCTGTACAGTCCTAAATGCCCTTTGGGGATATATTACCCTTAGAATTACTTAATTCTGCATTTCTAGATGCAGAGTTTATCTATTACTTTTTACTTTACTGTTCCTATGTGGAACTCAGTAAGTATAATTTAATAAATATAAATTAATCATGACTAAGTATCCTACTGGTATATTGGATTTAAATAAGACCTCAACGGTGAGGGACCCAGTCTCATTCTAAATCCATGCACTTTCTAGAATTTTAACAAATAATGATGCTAGTTTGATTCAGGAGGGGTGCAATCATATTTTATACCATTTTAAAGAATTGGTTGGTTTTCCACTTTTTTTTTTCTGAAAGAATTTAAAGAGTAAAGATAAATGCTTGTACAGATTGCTAGATATCCAGCACAGGTTAAGCAGTTGGTTAAAGGAGAATGGAAGTATGGAACACATACATACTGAGTGGTTATTTCAAATGAAGTCCTATATCAAGAATGCTGTTGTCCCATGTGACTTCCCTGGTGATCCAATGGTTAAGAGTCCACCTGCCAATGCAGGAAACATGGGTTCAATCCCTGGTCTGGAAAGATTTCCACATGCCGTGAAGCAACTCCTGAGCCCCATGAGACCTAATGCTCGTCTCTGCAAAAAGAGAAGCTACCACAGTAAGAAACCTGCATACCTCAACTGGAGAGTAGCTCCCATCTGCTGCAACTAGAGAAAGCCCATGTGCTGCAACAAAGACCCAGCACAGCCCCCAATTTTTTTTTTTTTTGACTTTTTAAAGAAATATTTATTTATTTAGGCTGTTTCTGGTCTTAGTTGTGGCATATGGGATCTTTTTATTTTTTTATTTTTTTTAATTTTTTAATTTTTTTCATTTATTTTTATTAGTTGGAGGCTAATTACTTTACATCATTGCAGTGGTTTTTGTCATACATTGAAATGAATTAGCCATGGATTTACATGTATTCCCCATCGCGGTCCCCCCTCCCACCTCCCTCTCCACCCGATCCCTCTGGGTCTTCCCAGTGCACCAGGCCCGAGCACTTGTCTCATGCACCCAACCTGGGCTGGTGATCTGTTTCACCCTAGATAATATACGTGTTTCGATGCTGTTCTCTTGAAACATCCCACCCTCGCCTTCTCCCAGAGTCCACAAGTCTGTTCTATATTAATTAATTTAAAAAAAATACTGCTGGTTCCGTATGTTCTCAGGATGTGGAAAAGAAAAGAGAAGGGTTTTGTACTAGTAGCAAAGACTTCTGCTTTGCTCCTTACCATCTCGAATCCCCACATGCCTCTTTTGGACACAGGGTTCTTGGTACGTGCTCTGTGGCTTTTTCGCAGGGCCCTGCTTCTCAGGCTTGACCAGATTAACTTCTGGATTCATTTTCTAGACAGTGTTTCCAGTTGTCACAAGTTTAGTATCACCCTTATTTACCTTTACAGATTTATCATATTATGGTTCCTTGGGTTAGAAGTCCAACACAGATCTCCCTGGGGGTAAAATCAAGATGTGGGTTGCTCTCCATTCCCTTCCTGAGGCTCCCATTTCCTTGCCTTTTCCAGCTTTCAGCTTGTCCGTGTTCCTTGGCTCCTGACCCCATTTCTTCATCATCAAAGCTATCGAGTCCTTTTCATGCTTCCATCTCTCTAGTTTTCTCTTTTAATTCCCTTTTCCATTTTTAAAGACCCTTGCAGTGACATTGGGTCTACCCAGATAATCCAGAGGAAGCTTCCTATTTGAAAGTCAGCTGACCAGCAAATTAATTCCACCCACAATCTTAATTCCCCTTTGCCTTTGAACCTGACATATTCACAAGTTCTGGGGATGAGGTGCAGGTGTTTGGGGAAGACCATCCATCAATTCTGCCTACTACCAATTCTTTAAACAGACCGTTCAGCTTGACCTTCTGCTCAGCCTGAGAACTAGGCATGGCTGAAAGCATGGGCTCTGGAGTCAAGGCTATTGGGCTTCAGATTTTGGCTTTGCTTCTTTTTGATGAATATCTCATCTGGCAATGGGGCTAAGAATGGTACCTTCTTTATAGAGTTCTTGTAAGAATGTTAACTTTAGAAAGGAAATACCTACAAAAACAACTTCCTGACTTAGCTCTTCTTTCTCTATGCCGTTGAGATGAAGGAAGGAGAGAAGGAAGAAAGGAGGAGGGGAATGAGGAAGGGAAAGGAAGAGAAGAGGCAGTGGATAGAACTAAGTGTGCCCTCGGCCCAGGACAGTCAAATACTAAATTCCCTGCAGACTGTACTGCTTTTTCTTACACCGGTGTCACCAAGTACTTGCTTTTAAAGAAAATTTATCACTGTTTTATAGTAAATCAAATCCCCTTTAGATGCTATGCCAAGGGATTATTCAAGTATCTTGCTTATACCAAATCAGAGCCCGAAATAAGCACTTATGGTTAGAATTACTGTTATTCAATATGTTACTGAATTAGATCACTTTCTACTCATTATGATAATTTTTTTTTTTCATTTTACTTTGTTCTGTTTTGCTTCATTTTCTTGAGATTCTATCCAGCATGTGTGTCTGAGAAATGAACACAAACATGTGTGGAGAGTGTTGGGGTCAGCAGATAGGGGCAGGAGTTTTCTCTTTCTTTGTTTTAAGAATGAACAAATACAGGGAAATTCTGCCCTGAACAGGAACCCTTGCTGACCTGAGCAGGACAGCTTGCTAATACACCAACTAGAGTTCTGAACTGGAAGGATGTCTCAGGGGACCTCAGAACTTTCTCCCAGGTAGGACAGAGACCAGTTTCTAGGGCTGGATCTGAGGGAGAACTCACACCCAGAACTCAGAATGACTGCTGTCTGATGCACTGACTTCCCTGGGATTCCAGCCCAGGAACCTGAGACTGTATGTAGGCCTCAGAGATGCGGAAATGGCCACTCTATTAGTTAAAAGTAGAGAACCCTGACTCAGTCTTGAGTTAGCTTCCAGGGGTTTTTATTAGCTCCTATAACTAAGAAGAACAGAATTCGATTTGTCTTCATGCTTGGCTGAGTCCAGGTGCTTAGATGTTGTCCTCAGGACTAGAAACTCTCTTTTCCTTCCTACCCCTTCACCTGTTTTTTTCTGTTGACTTCATTCTCAAGTAGGCTCTTGTCCCGTGGCTACATGGACACCCGCAGCTCCTATCTTAGTATCTCCGCCCCAAAAAGAGCATCTCTCTTCCAATAGTTTTAGCAAATGTCCCAGAACTTGCTCTCGTTGACCTTTGTGGATCACTTGACTGTCCCTCAGCAGATCACCATGACCATCATTTCAGCCTTAGGAGGCGGGTTAGCCACACACAACTGAGAATGTGGGAGAGTTACTACCCAGGGCAAAATCAAGTGGGTGGTATTAAAAGAAAGGGGAAGGAGTGAAAACAGCCACTGCTTTCACTCTGAGGCCGCCAAAGGGATTCAGTAGTCGACCTTGGGTACCAGACTGTTCAAAGAGTGTGTTTACACATCTGTCTGGGTTCTCACCCCATGACTGCCACACACTGGCTGTGTGACCCAGCCTCAGGGGCCCTACCCCATGCATGCCCATGAAAAGAGTGTGAAGATTGACCATGGAAGGTTGCTGAGGATGTTTTCTTGTTTCTGTTCAGTCTCTAAGTTGTGTTCGGCTCTTTGTGACCCCATAGACTGCAGCATGCCAGGCTTCCCAGCCCTTCACTCTCTCCTGGAGTTTGCGTAAACTTATGTCCATTGAGTCTAGGGTAGTACTGGAGAAACACCACGCACATGCCCGCATATGACACCATTATCAATAAACATGAGCTTTTCCTCCCTTTGAATGTGGGGTGCCTATATAGACCTGAAGATATCACAGGCAGCGTTTCTGGGCTTCCATTGTAAAACTTAAGACTGAAATCTGGGTGTTGAAGTGCTAAGAGTGTCATCATTTGATAGTACAGGCTAATCGTTCTTTGTAGTGTATGAGCATGGCGCATATTATTTACAAAACACTTTTACATTTGTTTCTTCTTTAATAATGACCATCGCAATAATAATAGTTAATATTAATCAAGATTTTACCATGTGCTGGGCAATTTTCTAAGCAGTTTACATAGATCATCTTACTTAATCCTCACTACCCATCTATGAAGTAAGTGCTCTCGTTTTCCCCATTTTATTGAGGAGGAATTAAGACACCAGGCTTCCCCGATGTCTCAGATGGTAATCTGCCTACAATGCAGGAGATCTGGGTTGGATCACTGCATCATGAAGATCCCCTGGGGAAGGGAATGGGTACCTACTCCAGTGTTCTTCCATGGACAGAGGAGCCTGATGAGCTACAGTCTGTGGGGTCGCAAAGAGTCGGACAGAACTGAGTGACTAAGACTTAAGACCCTGAGAGGTTAAGGTGCCCAGTCGCACAGCTGTTGGAGGAGGTGAACCCAAGCAGTTTGACTGCTGAGCTCACCTGGCCGATAAACCTTGTTTCTCAATATACACACACTGCCTCTCTCTCTCTTTTAGGGCTGATCATTTTCTGAGGGGTGATGGAAGTGGAGTTCTTGATGCAGATCTCTCTAATATCCTTGTTTTTCTTATCTTCCCTAGGTGTTTTTCCAGGTCTGACCATCTTGCCCTCCATATGAAGAGACATATCTAAAAAACCTGAAGGCCAGAGTTGCCATGGCGTCGGCCGGCCGTTGTCTGAAGGAAATGCCATGAGGCGGGGGCTGGACTTCAGGCGGGGATCCATTGCCTCGCAGAAGAAAGTTCTCACTTATTAAACCTCTGTGTACACACACCACACACACACACAGACACACACACACACGCACTCACACATAGACACACACACACAGTCATGCACTCAGCTATATTTAAAATATATACGTCTATCTTTATGCCTTGCCCTAGCCAGATGGTAGAAGAAGAAGAAGAAGAAGAAGAAAGAAACCAGGTGAACTCAGCAAGGCAGTCTGGCTGCTTACTTCAGCACTATTGGAATTATTTCCCGCTGTTGCCAATGGAAATCAAAGAAAATGGATGTGACGTCTCTACAGGTGGACGGCAGTAAGAGGGGCTTATTTAACTTGCTTCTCAGTGCAACTTGATAGGAGAATACAACGTCTTAAAGTTGCATATGTGTAGCACTAATGTTTCTTTTTCAATAGTTGGGGGAAAATGACCTAGCAAACCAAATTGCAGTTTGGTAGCCAAAATTAACTCTCGGTTTATTTGTCCTTTGTGTGTGAAAAGTCCTACTATTCCGTGCGTCCGACTTCCTCACAGAACTGTTGATCAGTTTTGGTTCTTAGTACTATTGAGATCTTTCCAGTCGATACCAACGGCCTTAGCGGCGGCAGACTCCGGAATAACACCTTACACCTTTCTGGCCTGCATTTCTCTAGACTTCACTCTCCAGGTCTCCAGGGAAGAGTGTTCTTTTCTTACTTTTTGACTCTTGCACACCATATGCACTAGGGATTCTGGAAACTTCTAGCATGACTGCAAAGTGGCCAAGAGAATAAAGTCCTTGATGATCAATCACAGTGTATCCCTTGAGCCTCACCTTATTGCCAGTGCTAGATTTTTTCTTTTTAATCTCTCTGTTTTTTGCTAACGAAAACTTGAAAAGCTTATTTGGAAGCTTAAATGTTTTATCTTTTCTCCATGGACTAAACCTCTCCAGGACTCTCTCTCGTCACCTGGATGTCCAGCTCTCGAAGCAGCCAATCAGATGGGACATCACACTCTTTTCATCCCCCTTGAGGCATCCTGACCTCAGCTCATAGTGATCAACCCCATGCTGTGTGTCACTGCTACCCTAACAACCAGTTTCAGCATAGATGTCGCTAGTCTCAAAGGGCAGCTGCATATTGAACGTAACTCTGGGTTATGACCTGACAAAAAAGCCAAAAATATCCCTCTTTCCAGGAATGGGGAGAACGGAGGATGCCTCCCAAGTCTAGTGGCTTCAAAAACCATCACCCTCTCTTCCTGTCTCATACCCACTGAGTCATGTCACCCCACTTGTTAAAATATACAATTCAAAATGCTGTTGTGGGAATAAAGGGTGGACATTTAAGGAAAGGGTTGAGATATTTCTCTCATGGTCTATCTAAAAGGAGAGACATATTTCTGATTTTTTAATTTTTTTGGCTAGGCCCACCATGACTTGTGCCCTAGAGCACCTGGGATCAACAGAGGCCTCACTTTTACTCTGCAAGCTGACTCCGAGGGGGTTCCATGCCTCACTTTCCATCCCCCACACACATCCAATATCGGTCTCCATCATCTACCCGCATTCTTAGCTAGCTGGCACTGGCCTCAACTCCAAAGACTGCCTTTAGGACCATTAAATGGCCTATGCAAGCAAGCGGGGTGGTTATTAGGGCAGATTGTATATTTTGTATATTCTGGGACCATCCCTTCAAGACACGTCTAAAAAAACAAAAATGGCATTTGGTCCGCCCATGGTTGCTGCTCCTTCATACCAGCTGGCTCCTCTCCTGCCCTCCTTTGACTGTTTGACTCATTGACTGTTAAAATGCTACCCCATACCTATTTGGGATGCAAAACTGAAGTCTTTGAAAGGAAATATAAGAAACACAGATTCATTTATGACAGCAAACTTCAAGATCCTTGGCATTTGGTTTCTCAGCTTTCTGCAAACTTTGATTTCACTGAAATGTTGAAACTACTCGTCTGAGGGCAGAGGAGCCTCCTTATCACAAATGCTGTAGCTGCCAATTGGACACTTGGGGCATTCTGAGGTCTGGCCCTTCAAGTTTTCTTTCTCTTTTTTCCTTTTTTTCAATTTAGACCAAAAACAAAACAAAAAACAAAAAAAAAGAAAGAAAAAAACCACCCTAAACACACACACAAAATCTGCCCATTTGCCAGAGGCAATTATGTATATGTTAGTCAGAGGGTATTTTAAAAAATCAGTTTTATTCCAAAGATTTAAAACTAGACATGACTTAGAAACATTTCTGGAGCACTGCTTGCTGACAATCTCGTAGTTTTCTCGACTGCATTCGAGTGCGTTTGTAGCCAGTCCATCAGGGCGGACCATGGGATTATATTTGAATGTGTGGCTCATCCTTTCTGGATGAAGGATGTGTGAGGGACCTTGAACCTCAGCTGTATTAAACTGTAGCGCCTCCAGTCAGTGCACTAGATGAAACTTTAGACACCCCAGATTTTGTTGGTTCGTTGATTTCCCTTTCTAGAGCAGCCTCCAGCATGACTGCACGCACAGTCCCAGTGATGGCATTAGCCGTGGCTGCCACGATTTACAAATGTTCTCTCCCCCGCTGGAGCTGCTCTTGCCTCTCGAAATGCTATTATTAAGGGTTTATAATACTTAATTTAATTTTTGAACTGACCAATGCAAGGCTCTATTAAAAAGAAAGTTTAAAAAAATGCAAAAGAGTAATCATTGCTTGTTCACTCCCCGTTGTCATCTGTGGTCTTGAAAAGATCTCATTTGGATGTGACAGAACAAAGGCCCTTGGGTCTTCATCAGTGTCTGAAATATTGGGCAATTCCTCTCTCTTTTATATCAGTGAGGTCCTTTGTAATCTGCTCCTGACCTTTCTCCAAGCAGGGTGCACTGAACCTCGATGGTGGGGCTTGCTGGCTCCAGGCATTTGTTGACCGAGAATTGGCCTGAGAATTTGGTGGGTGCTAAGCGTATGGCTTTGAAACTGTTCTTCTGTAGCTCGATTGACACCTCTGAATGATAACCGGTCCTGTCTATTGTGGGGTGGGGAGAGTGGTAGCCCCAGTTATTTGGGCATGTTATCAAGTATCCATCCTCTCTGAAATGGCAGAGATGGTTGGAAGGAGCCTGCTGGAGTGAACAGGCTTTCTGAGAAATACCCTGAAGCTAGTTTGCTTCCAAGAGGACAGGTTATTCAAAGCAGTGCTTTAATGGACAGTTGAAACACATTAAACTATTTTCTCGTTTAAATTGTTAACTCCCAGCATTCCAGGAGATCTCCAATTTGAAAGGAAAAACCTGTCATAGTGTTTCTTGTAGTTGTCCTCCGAAGCACGCTTTATCCAGGGTTCAGAGTGTAATGTATAGAAAAAGAGTGTTTCGAAGCCATTGACAGTTTTCTTTATTTCAATTTGTGCTTCTTTCTCCTACCACATGACTGTAAGTCAAAGATGTGGAAACCTGAAATTATAATATTGCTCCTCGCTACTGGCCTTCTGCCCCACTGATGGTTCATTGGCCCAGCTTAATGCCTGGTGGTGATGAGTATTATGTCCAGAAAAAGAGATGTTTGGATTCCATGACAAAGCTGCGTTTTATAAATATATCGGAGACCCCCCCCCCAAAATGAACTTCATGCTGACCATTTCCTTCTCCTCTCTGTGCTCTCCCTTGCAAAGCCCTTCAAGTATCCCCTGTCCACCCATTCTGCACCTCTTGTGCCCTCTTTACATCTTTGATTGCCTGACGATAACAGGGTAAAAAAGACAGCCAACCTCACGCATGATTAGTAGAACTGATTCCTATGTTTTAAAAAAAATCTTCTTTGAATCTAGAAGCCAGAGAAGATTTTTTTTTAAGGACTTCAGTTTGGGATAAGCTTCCAGATTAGCCATGTCTGTTTGCATCAAAGGGGAAATAAATGGGACTTGCAGGGCGGCTCACCCAGTGCATTCAGGACGTCTGCCTGTAGCCCCAACTCCTGAACTCTATGGCAAAGTCAAAAGACATGAACTCAAATGGCAAGAACAACAGAACTTAGTGATTAATGTTACTGGTTCATAATGGTTTCCTGTATGGAAGTCACTTCATAAAATATAAAATAGAGTGCAAAGTGAAAAATTGCTTCTCTTTTGCATGAGTTGGTTTTAGGAGAAGGAAGAAGGTTGGGAAAGGCGGAGATGCAACATATGTAACTACAAAAACCAGGTTCATTGTTCCTTTTTTTTTTTTAATCTTATGAGGTCCAGCATTTCTGGCCACAGTTTTGCACCCAGATCTTTGCCAAAGTGAAAATTCATTAAGTAGAACCTGGTTGACATCTACCTGGGGACGCTTTCCCTGGCATCTTCCGGAAGTGGCCACTGCCAAGTCGGGGGTGGAGGCAGGAGGAGAGAATTTGCATTCCAGCTCTGGGTTGTGTTTCGGTAAACATGGTGATATCTCAGTTTGAAAACTGGAGAGGCTGTTCTGAGTGTACATCAATGCCTCTTTGATGGTCTACTTTCCTCAGTGAGGATCTTTGGGAATACTTGAGATGGAACAACGAAAATGTGTCAAAGGAAGCAAAAACTCCTTGTAAATGTGAGATCCCATGACTAACTGCCTGAGGCTTCAGGGTTTTCTCTTGCTTTTAACATTCGCTTAAATCTCCTCTGTTGGTTCCTAATGGATCCCGGTAAAGGGAAAAATAAAGCTGCAATTTAACTTTCTTACGTGCACCCTTCCAAGGTAGTACTGTATTCTTCAGGTGTTTTGCATTTACGTGTAAGTGCTCGGGAAACAGGTATCAAAAATGGAGAGAGAAATCCCAGGCCGTCACTTCACAAATATCCCAGACGAGATACTCTTTTTCAAACAGGGCTCCCTCTCAGCAGTCACGAGGGGACGTTGATGCGTTCTTTGTTGGGGACTGTTTATACAACATTTTTTTTCAA